TTGTAGTGACGTGCCCCTCCTCTTCATTATATATTCCTGAAGTCTTCTTCGTGCCTGTCTACCTCAAATACCCACCTGAAAATACCTTGTGAATGGCATTTGGACAAGCAAACAATGAGTGCTCTCCCGGTGGAGAAGCGGAGGAAAGAGCCCGGGAAAGCCCTCCTCATTTTCTCAGTATCATTCCCTCATTCTTCCCAAGTTCTCTCCCTTGCCTGAATCAGAACTCTGTCTTTCTTTAGCTTTGTCATGCCTGCTTTGGTTCAAGGTCCCAAGAGAGCAGCAAGAGGAAAGAAAGAAAAAAAAAAAGGCCCTTGGAGTTGGTACTCAGCAGAAGGTAAAAACATGGCCAGTGAGTAGGAATCTCATAACTGTCCGTCCCACACCCCAAATATTTGGTCCTGGTCAGAGCTCCTTTTGACCCCTCTTTTGGTGAGATTATTTCCCTTCGTGGTACTTGGAATTCAAATCACATACACTCTGAGCCAGGGAACATCTTCCTACCCTTCAGAATCAGTATCGATCAGTCATTTGTCAATTATTTTCAATAAACTTTTATTGAGCATAAATCATGTGACAGGAACTGTGCCAGGAGATGGGAATATAGTGGTGACCAAGCCCCAGTCCCCATTTTTAAGGTGTTCAGAGTTCTGTGGGAGCAGACCAGGGTTTTTCCCCTGTGAATTCAGGTCTGAAGATACTTCGATGGGCTTGAGGTGCTAAAACTCTCCTACCTTGTCCTTCCTTTTCTTTTGGGAAAGTGCAAAGCACAAAGGAGCAGTAGACTAACCTGCAGGGGATTTCAGACCATTCGGCATCATTCTCCTGTATCTATCCATTTCAGTCCCTGCACTTTCACCCCCGCCCACTTTAGCAGACACATAATCGTGCTTCTGACAGGGCAAGAGACACTTCAAGGTTGGAGAAAGGTGGAAGGGAGGTGGCAGCAGCTCCAAAGGTGGAGCAATGGAATTTACAGAAGGTTCAAGTGATTCAACTCTGATGGGCTAAGAAGCCTGAAAGATTTCAGTTTCTTAGTCGAGGTTCAGGCTAAAGAGCTCAGGAAAGGACCAGAGTCTAGGCATTTGGTTTTGCATCTGTATCAATTCTGAAAAGATCTGCAAAGGGGTGGAGGTCCAGTAAACAGCATAGTGGTAGCTCCACGTTGGAGCAGACTTACTATTGGGGGGCTTCCTTTCTGGCATCAGAAATCAAGTTAACATAGTAAAACCATCATGTCTGTTTGAAGGGAGAGATGTGGACGGACTATTCTTTTTGTTACATTTGACCTCAAAATTCCTTCTTTCTTCTCCAGATTAAAATATAGAACAGGGAAGGGACAGAACTTGTGAACTGAGCGAAGTGAGCAACAAGCCAGACTTGATTCCTGAATTGAAGGGAGGCAGGCTGCCTGAGCTTGAGGGGGTGGGGAAAGTTAGGGTGTTGGAGACGCGCCAGAGCTTAAAGAGGCTCAGCCCTGCATTTCCCAGATACTGCTTGTGGTACACCACCCGAGCTCTTTGTTTGGATCCCAAAGCCGAACAGAATGATGAGGGGGCGCATTCTGTTTTGTGGAGGGGAAAAACGGGGTTCGGGCCGCACAAATTGGCCTGAAATGAAAAGTCAGCAAAAAGCACCGGGTGGCAGCGTGGCGTGCGGGCGCAGCTCTGCAGTGCCTTCTGCTGCTGCTGCCGCTGCTACTGCTGCTGCCGCGGCCGCGGGGGCTAAAGCAGTCTGCGAGCCCCGGCCTCCTTCCTCAATGGCTACAAGTGTCGCCATGCGAAAAACCTCAGCGAGTGTGTGTTTGGAGGGGAGTGGGTGTTGTGAGTCTGAGCCTGGGGCGGGGGCTCCAGCCCGGGCGTAACCTGGCCAGCTAAGAGTCACACACTAACGGAACATCCCGCTCCGCCGCCCCCATCGCCAAGCAACCCCCGGCTCCTCCAACCCAACTGCCTCATCCCAGTGCCTCCTCCATCACTGTTTCCTCCCTAAGCTCCTTCGGGAAAGAGGAGGGGAGAAGGGTTTGGGAGATTGAGCCCCTACAGGTGTTAGCCCGAGCGGCCCGCCGGGGACTTGGGGGGTGGGGCGGGTGGGCGGCCCGCGGCAGGGAGCCAGCGGGCTGGGCTCCGGGAGGGAGGGGCCGCCGGGGGAGGGGGCCGCGGGAGGCCGTCGCGCTCTTCCGGAGGGTGCCTGCGGCGACGGAATTCCTATACTGAGTCTGTGCCGCGCCCAGAGCAGCAGCGGCGGTAGCGGCGGCAGCGGCGGCAGCGAAGATGCAAGGCCATTACCTGTTTGAGCCCCGTCGGAAAGCTGGCACAGGCCAACTTTTCCCGATCGGCAGGCCAAGAAGTTGCAAGGACTAGTCGGAGGCTCGGAGGGGCCAGGGCGAGGGCGCGCTCCCCCGCGCGCTTCCTCCATCCCCCCCTCCCTGCTGCCGCCCGCGCTCCCGGCCTCTCTCCCGCCCGCGCTCCCTCCCTCCGCCTGCCTCCCTCCTCCGGCCCCCGCCGCGCGGCACCGGGCGGTGGGTGCCGCCAAACTCCGACCCGAGCCACTTGGACTCGCACAGTGTCCTCGGGGCGCAGGGGCCGAGCGCACGCACTCGCGCAGCTCTGCCTCCGCCTGGCAGTCTCGCCCGCGATCCCGGCCCGGGGCTGTGGCGTCGGCTCGGACCCAGGCAGCCGGCAGCCCGCGCGGGATCCGGACCACCGCCGGAGGAGCTCGGCCGGCATGCTGAGCCCCCTCCTCGGCTGAAGCCCGAGCGCGGAGCAGCCCGGGCGAGCGCCGGCTCCGGAGACGAAGGCGGCGGAGGCGCGAGACCGAGCGGACGAGCGGCGGAGGAGCGGGGGGAGGAGGCGAACCCGGAGAGGGGCCCGGAAAGAAGTGGTGGTGGTGGGCGTCGTGGCCATGGCGGCGGCTATCGCCAGCTCGCTCATCCGGCAGAAGCGACAAGCCCGGGAGCGTGAGAAATCGAACGCCTGCAAGTGTGTCAGCAGCCCCAGCAAAGGCAAGACCAGCTGCGACAAGAACAAGTTAAACGTCTTTTCCCGGGTCAAACTCTTCGGCTCCAAGAAGAGGCGCAGAAGGAGACCAGGTTGGAAGGGGCTCTTGGCTGGCTTTTTCGCCCCCCCGTACTTTACGGGTGTGGAGGGGGCTGGGGGGCGTGGATGGAAGCGGAGGTGAGTTTGTCGGCGGCCCATCTAGTGCGGATGTGGCCACCTAGCCGGTGTGCGTGCGTGGGAAGCGATCGCTTTCTCGCCTCCTTCGTAACAGTAACAGGCTTGCTGCATTGCAACTGCCGTGGGACAGGCGCAGAGCCTGGGGGCATACCCTGCCCAGCGGGCGCGCAGTCAGCTTCAGACAGGCCACATGTGTGCAAGCCCGTGGGCTCTGGGCAGGCGTGACCCAGACGTGGCTATCGCGTGAGTGGCGTGTTAATTGCAGGCGCGGAGCTGGGCAGACCCCTGCCCACCCCACACCCCAGGAAACCCGGGGAATCCCTCCCTTGCCTTCACCTCCGAAGCTCTGACCCTTCCCCTCCAGCTTCCACCCCCAAGGGCCGTGGGCTTCCGCTATCTAGGCATTCTGTTTCTTTGATCACTTTTAAGCTTATCGGGACAGACTTGTGGTGCAGCTTTGAAATATTTGCTGGAGAGAAGGGGGTGGATTCCTAGAACCTGTGGCAAAGAGCTTAGTGATCTGGTTGAGACTAGTCAAACTGTGGTTACTTGCTACTAAAATGCAGGATTCAAGAGAGTTTAAACTCAGAGCCAGATCGTGGGTCCTTTTGAGCCTGTTCAGTGAGAAGAGTAGCGCGGTATTCCGGTGCCAGGGGAAATTCACACAGCTAGAGGTGTCGGGTTGCGTCAAGGTAGACCTTCAGGCGTAGAGGCAGCTTATTTGGCTATTCTCAACCAAATGTATCCTTTAAGCTGTTTCCTTCCTTTTACTAGATAAATATCACAGAATTTCAGACTTATTCAACAATCTGTTATTTCGCTATTTGTGTGTTCTACACATCCTGGAATAGAAATGCAGACACACATTTTCTGCTCGCTCGAAGTTTTTAAGGCATTAGCTGTAAATTAGGCTTGTTTTTAAACAGGTTTAAGCGGTGGCAAAGCATGATTATGTGGCCTGAATAATCACGTAAATATCATTTCAGTGCAGGTGTCTGTATTCAATAAAAGCAAATTCTGGATAACATGGCTGTTATTGATAAATGAGGCACTTCATTAATCTATGGTGATTCATAATTGAAAATCATTTTGAGAATATTTTGGATAATTATATTTGATAACGAAATTTGAAAATAAATATGAACTAATTTTCTTTCCTCCCCACCAACAAAACCCCTGCCCTTTGCACCCATTTTCCCTAAGGATAATTAATACGATAGGGTATGATAATGGTTGTTTTATTCTCCCCTCCCCCTTTTTTTGTATCGCGGCTCAATTTTCTAAATAGAAGTCCTTTGATGGGGTTCCGGGTTATTTATGCGTTTTCAACCTTCTTAGAATGGAGGGAGTTCTTTATTCTAATTGTGGTATTTCTGAGGGAAATCTTTGCTAGTGTGTTTTTGGTCCCTGCTTGGTAAACCCACTCTAAATCATCTTAGTATTTCTCCTTTTCCTTCCACATAAGAAGTAGCACGTTGTTAAAAGGCAGAATATGCCGTTTGCCAACCCATTTCGAATGCTCAATGAGATGGAGTGCCACTCTGTAAGCCAAAGGACACGCTATCAGAAACTGTCTCTGCTGTCAGTAGCTTTAGGGCTTTACCAGTGTTACCAGGTAGAAATCAAATGTTTCTTCAGTTCGGAGATTGGTTCTGAAGCTTGGAGTTTGTTGGTTTGTTTTCTTTCTTTCAGGGGACTCTTTAAAAGTGTCATCTGACCTTTTCCACTAAAATTTTTAAATAAAATTAGAGTTCTGAAATCTGAGTCTTTTCAACTATATATGTACAACTTATCAATTGATCCAAACCATCCTTCTCCTTGCAGAGCCTCAGCTTAAGGGTATAGTTACCAAACTATACAGCCGACAAGGTTACCACTTGCAGCTGCAGGCAGATGGAACCATTGATGGCACGAAAGATGAGGACAGCACTTACAGTAAGTGACTGCAAAATAAATAATAGTATATCCCAGCATGTTGTTGACATTGTGTTTTCTTTCTTTTTTTTTTTAAATTAACAACCCTTGCTAAATCCCAAAGCAAATCCAAAATAGAGTCAACACTATATAATCCTGTTTCAGCAGGTTAACCTAAAGGAAGGGGAACATGAAAATATCTAGAATAGTGAACTGTAGCAAATAATGTTGACACCATTCTAAAGAACAATCCAAATGTCATCTCCATGGTAATCTGGATAGATTTATGGCTGTCCTTTGGATTTTATTACTTTTTTCCCACAGAAAATTTACTCACCCACACACTGATCCTGAAATAGCACGGTTATCTCTACTCTTAAGAACCGGTCTCATCCCAAGAGAGAGGAGAGGTTTCATGTCAGGAGAATTCATCATTACAAGCTTTCACTTCTGCTCCCCCCACCTCCACAGACACTGATAACTCTCAGACTAATTGGGATTTTAACACTGAGATACCTCCACAGGTGGGTAAAGACATTTCTTTGAGTGCTTTATTTTTATCCGTGGTCTTAGGACCGAATTGGAGACCATCATGGTGAACCTAAAAGAGAAACACATCAAAAAGAAAGTCAATTTTATTTCCAATTACTGAAGGATAGTGATTCCAAGATATTATATAACCTTTTGTTACATATGCTTTATTTATTTGGAGTCATCAAAACATAAACTCACAAATAGTAACGCCCTCTTCAATGGTAATAATTGGTGGGGTTTTGCAATTAGCAGGTTGCTGCAGACCTATTCAATGTTCCATGAGGCTAAGCCACCTAGCTCTCACCACTCCTTCCCGATTTTCCCTAATTTATATTGCATTTCCCTCAGGCTTTGTTATTTTCCCAGAAATAGTCCCATTGCCAAGGAAAGCCCATCTGAATGCTAACAAGTCCTCTGCAGCATTTTCAGAGACGTGGGGCTAGAGACAACAAAGCCATAGACAAGGGTTCCAATGTTGAGTGTTAAAAGAGTTTCACATCCTTTAAGAAAGCTTCCTGGGCTGATTGATGGCCAATGCAAGACCTCAAGAGGAAGTCACCTTTAATTACCCTTAAAGAAAGCTCTGTTGGTACCTAGGGTGAAAAAGTTCTATACTTAAATGGTTTACTAGTTTTTTGGCACTGTTTTGCAAAATGCAGTGTTACTGTTGTGGTACTGAAGTTCTACAATGAGTATGCTAGATGTTCTTTCATGCATACTCTTTCTTCTATTTGAAAAAAATGAGTCAAGGGTAACTAGAGGGTTTTACTGCACTCCTATAACAGACATGAGTCCATTATGACCAGTAATAAAACATTCCCATAAATTGTATGTTTAAATCGGTGTTTGGGAAAGAAATTAGGGGATGTAAGCTGCTCCGTTTTCCAAAGTGCCTCAGCAAAACAGATTCGTTGGGCATTATTGGAAGTTCACGATCAGCTGCGAATGAACCCCACCCGGTCAGGTTTTCCCCCATCTACTTTTAACTTTTTTTGCAGATGGAAATCAGTGAAAAACTTATTTTGGGTCCAGTGTTCACATGCGTTTCCTGAAAAGGGAAAAAAAAAAAACTCAGACAATTCATTTGTTTATAAACAGCAATATGGCACACGCATCAAGATCACACTGTGTATGTAGTCATTTTAGGATGTTACACACACATAGATACAGACACACAGACACACACACACATATGTATGTAAATCAAGGCTCCATTTCTTAACTGTGGAATCAGGTAGTGGGTTTTACTTTTCAATTCTTGCATATGCATAGCTTGTGCCTTTCAGTTGTCTTATAACTGACTGATATGCATGGCATTTCTGTATACTAATGATATTGTCAGGCCTTTAAAGAGACAGAATCTGTCTTCAGACACAATGAAATAATGAGAGGTGAGTCAGCTGATGGTATTACCATCACATGAAGCATACAGATGAAAAGTATCTCAAAATAAATAGCAGGTCTGTGGGGCTTCACTCTACCCATGCTGCCAAGTATAACCAGGGGCCAGAGAGCTAGCGTTTCTTCCCACTTAAGTACACTGTAGGGTGTAAGTCATCATGAAACAAGAATGTTTAATGGTTAAAGTGATCATTAAAATGATCATCATTAAAATGGAAGTTTAGCCATGCAGATGGCTTCTTTTTTTCCCCAAGCCAAGTAATTTTCTTGGCATTCATTATTTAATTAATTATTTTAAATGAGTGGAACAAAAATACAAGTTTGTTTTCCCAGCTATCACTTTTTCATTTTAATACTGTTTCCTTAATATGCATTCCTGGTATTATGTTTATATTTTTATTAATTTTTAGGATTTTTCATTTTTTTCTCGCTTAATTCAACGTGGTTGATTTTATGATACTTTAATTCTGACACGGTAAGCCAGATCATGGTAAAACAAATCAGTTCACGTTTACCCAGATACATCTGTTTCTGAAAACATATGTTTGATGTTATGCATTCAAGCTGACCTTAGGTAGCTTTAGTACAATGATAAATGTTAGTCCGATAAACTCTCATCATGAGCAAGTCAACCATTGTAAATTATCTATTGCCCCCTGAAAAGGAAAAGATGATAGACATTTCAAGGGAGTGGTTTTATTATATCTGCCATGGGCTCAATGAGGGCGATGTTAGAATAGGCAGCTTTCCTTTCAAAACTCCAGTAGTGTTACCAGTTCAATGGGTCAGCTCTTTCCAATCTACATTAATATATACTTTTTAAATTACTCCCTTTGAGAAATTGATCTTAACCCAACTGATAAAAAAGGATGGCCTCGCTTTTGTATTTGGCAAACACTGAGTGCCAACTGTGTGCACATCTCTGAGAAAAATGGTCCCTTCGAGGTAGAAGGAGTTTGTTTTTACGTAGACACAACAGAAAACAAGAAACGAAGGCCCTTTTATTTATTAAAATCTTCAAAATTTTGGCAGAAATGGAAAAAAGATATTAGGTGTTTAATGAATGTGTTTTAGATACACAAATAAAATCAATTGTTTTCATGTTCAGCATGTTTTCATCCTAATCAAAATAATATCTTAAGTCCATGAAGTACTCCAGACTTAGAGAAGCAAAGGCATATTGGAGAATATTGAACCTGTGCAAGCTCACCCTTGATGTAATTTCTTTGCATTTTTATCTGGAAATACTGTCCCTTTAGACAGACTTGAAACAAACCTGTTTTATGATCTATCTTGAATGTCGAAAGAAAAAAGATTGGACTGGTATCACCCGTCACTCTCCACTTTTGCTGCTCTCTTCAATTTTTTATTTTAGAGTGGTATTTTTTGTTTCTGAATCAGGCTTCACAGAAATTTATGGTACGTAGTGAAAAATCCATGGCCGCTATAGAGTTCATACCATTATTCAGGAATACATAATGCCGGGCATGGGTTACGGATGTTCTTTGCTTCTCTTCCTCCTACTGCTATCTGATGTTTGGGACTTAAGCATTTTATTGCCCATTAAAACCCACATCAGAGAGGAGTTGGGGCACACGGTGAAAATCAAATATTTCTCTCTCTCTCTTTCTCTGTTTTTTGCTGGTTACCACCTGCATTCAGAGAACTAAGAAGGTTCAGAATATTGTAAAAATTGAAGTTCTAGAAACAATTCTGAGCGCCCTTTATTACCTGTCATCTATCATCTGTTATCATCTATTAGTTTGACTAAACTAGGATTCAGACATACACTGGTGTTCTAGTTGTCTAGTGGTTTGGCTTTTAAGCCAAACCCATATGGAGGTTTTTGTTTGGTTTCATTTAGTTTTTTAGATATCAGAATTTAAAACTATGAGCTTTTATATAATGGGATTGTGATCTATTACATTCCAAAAATGTAATATTCTCATGGTTTCACCATGCAGATTGCTAGCAGTCCACAAATGTGTGTTGAGCACCTGCCGTGAGCAAGGTACCATCAACAGAAAGAGATAGAACGTATACGTGACATGCTCAATGAGATCAGACTTCATTCCTGGGCACTGCATGGTCAAATATAGCATTAGATCCTGGCTCGCAGTCTGTGCAATTACTTTCCTTCACCTCACATAGCAGAAGGGCACAGCTTCAAATATGATGAGTATTGAATGAAATGCCATCAGTGGCGTGTGGTAGGAACACTTGTATTTTGAACCGTACAATGTCCTAGCTCCTCTCTGGTGACACGCTGACTTTAAGGGAAAGGGACATTGTAGGCTCACCAAGGAATATTGAGTTCTTCATTAATATTTCTCAACTCTGTAACCCCACCTACTGTAGTAGAATATACATACACCAAGATAAGAGATCTGAGAGAAACTATTCTTACCCACGGGGTGACTGCTTTACGTTCTCGTTCACAGGAATGATAGCAGACCAATTTATCATCCTCCATAAACTTACACACCAAGGCAAAAATCGTCAACATTGGTCTAGGACTCTTGAGAGAAAGGTGCACAGGCTATTTTCAAAAGATGTGTGTGGCAAGCACTACGTTTTAAAAATGTACTGTTTTATTTTTATTCCTGGTGTAGGAGGGAGTAGACAGCTGGTAGGGGGAAGACGCCCACTGGTTTCATCCAGTGAGTGGTGTGTGATTGTGAGGAGAGCCGGGGTGTAAGTTTCACGCAATCAAACCTTCAAATGGAGAAATGAAGGCCTCCTGGGCACCAGCCAGCTGCCCACTTACAACTATTTAGGAAAAAAAAATGAAATAAATAAACCTCTCAAGTTCATTGTTTTTATTCCTATAACCTTTGCTCCCAGAGACTAAAAGACAACCTATCTCAACCCAATCTTAGAAAATGTTCTTTAAGAAATACTACTGTGGGAACGTAAGACTCCTTTTTTTTCAAGGCCTGGAACTCTTTTTTTGTGCTTGCGTCGGAAATAATACAGATAATTTAGGTGAAGGAGTTGGACTAGTGTCTTTTCTAAGATTCTAGGAATCTCTCCCCAGCTGATAGATCATATCTGTGTCTGAATTTCAGCAGTTGTCTAAGGGAGCAGTTTAAAACCTTGGCTGGTTGAAAATAAAGCTATTTAATATGTAGACCAATTCCTGGAACTGGATCTTTACAGAAGCATCAAGATTTCCCACCTCCAACACTATACAAACCATGGAATTGTCTTCCATTTTCTCCGGGGTGTTTAAAAATATGTAGCTATAGTCCCCGTTGTATGACTGCAACCATGAATCAAGAATACTGAAAGGGGGCTTCCCTGGTGGCGCAGTGGTTGAGAGTCCGCCTGCCGATGCGCGGGACACGGGTTCGTGCCCCGGTCCGGGAAGATCCCACATGCTGCGGAGTGGCTGGGCCTGTCAGCCATGGCCACTGAGCCTGTGCGTCCAGAGCCTGTGCTCCGCAACGGGAGAGGCCACAACAGTGAGAGGCCTGCGTACCGCAAAAAAAAGAAAAAAAAAAATACTGAAAGGTAGAAGAGGCCCTATCTATCTGGAGTTTTATATATATATATACATATACACACATATATATATATATGTATATATATATATGTATATATATGAATATTCCTACCAAGCACACATTACTTTTGGAAGACCAGACAGTGCTGCTGGAAACATTGAAAAGCTATGGAATTCGAAATCCTAACCTTGTTTTCACATTCTGTTTGGTTGCAGCTCTGTTTAATCTCATCCCTGTGGGTCTTCGAGTGGTGGCTATTCAAGGAGTTCAGACCAAGCTGTATTTGGCAATGAACAGCGAGGGATACCTGTACACCTCGGTAAGCCTGTCACTGTGTTCATGTTTTGATTATTCTAGTTTTCACCTGATACGAAGTGAAATAGGCTGCATATGTGTTATCATTGCAGATTTGTGTGATTTGAGGAAGAGTGGTCTGGATGGAAATATCTTTGAAAAGACATTAATTTCCAGTGAAAATTATATCTATTACTAATTAATCATTTGAAGCTAGCATTTTGGGTATAAAATTCAAAGATTCACTACACATTTTTGCATACATTGGCATATGGGTTGTTATTTTGTGTAGCATATGATATAGTGGTCTGTCTTGCTGTAGTGCTTTGCAGCTGTGGGAAGCAAAGCCATTTCTATAACTCAGTTCAACATATATTTATCCATGTTTACTCCTAAAGAAATTAATGAAACCTCATCCTCAAATCAACTCTAGGACATAAAGAACAGTTTTAGAAGTGTTTCTGTATCTTATATTCAGTTCAGTTAGGTCACATTTGCTGTCTCTACTTTAAATTCTGTTTTTCCATCAAGCACAGTTCAATCTCTCCTTGCAAATTCCTGCTTGCCTTTTCTTAAAAGTTTATAATGTACAGAGTACAAAATGAAACTTTTTCCAAGAAATTTATAAACAATGTAGGCAACAGTTCAGCTAGGAACCTGGGGCCACATTAAACTTTTAAAATTTTTACACTTAAACATAGGCAGAAATGGTACAGTACCAGGGTTAGGATTTTATTCTTAGCAGTAGATCTAGATACAGAGTACAGGAGACTACTTAATATATGAATATTTTTTAATCTTTGTTTTGAACTTCATATAGTCTAAGAAAAGGATAAGATGTTAAAAATGGAGAAAATTGCTTCTCAAACTTCCTTCTAGATAGCCTTGAAGTAGGCTGTTACCATGACTAGAGAAATCTATTCCTCAAACTGCAGAAGTGGTTACCTTTAAACACTCTTGCCCTGGCCTGTTCCTTAAATTTATTTCAAAGCCAGGTATGTAGAAAGACTCTCAGACCTGGTGAAACCATGTCATAACTCTGTTTTTCAGAGACCAAGATGGGAAAGAGGGGCGGGAGAAGAGTGAGACCAAAGGGCCTATTCATTTGGTAAACTGGGTAGTGCATTTCAGATTCCACAATGAAAGACTGGAAGCGTAATCTTCAAATCCTGATCACGATCAGCATTCCTATCAGGCCATTTCAACTGTCTTGTTGTTTAATAAATGCAGGGGTTTTATTCTTTTTACAAATGCAAGATTTGAGTTTATTGCAAACTTCATGACATCTGTCACTTTATTAATACATGGCCATTATTATAAACGATAGGAAAGGGGATTTGTCTTTCAGATTTGTGCATTAAGATAATTTAGTAACAAAGGATTTTAATTAACCTCATTTAGATCAACAGACTACCTCATCAGGACCAGATGCAAAGGTAGGTTTTTCATAAAATAAATGACTGCTTTCTGCAACTACTATGCAGGTATGGGAAGGAAATGGAATATACAGGGCATACTTTTGAGAAGGTAAATACCGGATGGCGTAGGAAATCATTACTGGTGAAGCATCCAGAATTTCACTGAGCTGTGTGGTCACCATTGCGGTGCCCTGATGAGAAAGGTTGATTTTTTAAAAATCTGGCAACAGTAAATTTTTTAAAACAGTTTGCAAATAATATGTAAGTTAAAATGAGAAAATGGCATGTAAGTTAGGCAGTATGTCACGTGCTCCCACTCAAGAAAATTGGGGCATGCAGTATTACGTGTAGGGAATTGATGTCAAAAACTCATAGCCTACCATTCAAGTTGACCGTTATTCTAGCAGATGGTAAATGTCAACGTGAGCTCGTTTCTAAGGAAGGCTTTCCAGGGGAATCAGCATTGTAGATGGATGGGCTGCCTTTCTTTGGTGGGCAGGCCAATATACAGCAAAATGTGGACCACTTTGTATGCATTTCCTATTAAGGAAGGGAAACCTTAAGTAAGTGTTTCCTATTAAGGAAAAGAAACGAGGTTTTCTTTAAGGAGGAGAGATGTCTGATTGATAATCCTAGAGTTCGTAGAGGAAGAAATACCCAAATTAGTCTGCTCCAGGAAAGAATCAGAATCTTCTCCAGGATAAATTACCCAGTTCTTCTCATTACTTCTTACTGATTGTGGTTTGGGGTCCCATCAACACATTGATCACTATCCTCAGTGGGTACTCCATTTATTATCATCTTTTTAAAAATATTGGGCTTCCCTGGTGGCTCAGTGGTTGAGAGTCCGCCTGCCGATGCAGGGGACGCGGGTTCGTGCCCCGGTCTGGGAGGATCCCACGTGCTGCGGAGCGGCTGGGCCCGTGAGCCATGGCCACTGAGCCCGCGCGTCCGCAGCCTGTGCTCCGCAATGAGAGAGGCCACAGCAGTGAGAGGCCCGCGTACCGCAAAAAAAATAAATAAATAAAAGTAAAAAAATATATATATAGTACTCAGACTCTCTCAGGATATTGTCTGTCTTAGTGACTTCAACAACACAAGACCAAAAAGCTAAATGAAATATCTTGCTTCATCAGGAAGAGAGGGTCACCAAAGGGAAAGCTTCCCTTACATAAAACCGTGGCACTTCTGCTACTGAAATACTGTATGCAGTTTGTTAACAAAGAGAAAATAAGATTGGACAAAGACCTTAGGGAGGAAGCAAAAATAAGAAAAGGAAGTAGAGGCTACTGATATGGGCAAGTAGAAAAATCTGTTAGGAGATTATTGAAAATTATCTTGGTGAGGGCTGACTAAGGGCTGCCTTAGAACATTTTCAGTGGCAATGGCTGAATGGAGAGGGATTTGCGAGGCATTTCAGAGGTAGGATCGTGAGGATTTGGTGGCTGACTGGATTTGGAGGGAGAGTAGGAACACCATGTATGGTTGAACATGTATAGTTGCCATTTACTGCACAGATGGAAATAAAGTATCCTCAGGTAGACATTTTTTAAAATGTGCACAGCAGTGGTTATTAGGGTCCCTGAGGGAGAGTGAGAATTTTACCTTTGGCAGTTGAGTTGATGGTGAGCTATTAACCAAGATGGAGAATAAAGGAAAAACTACAGATTGGGGGGAAAAAAAAAGATACCTGAGTACAGCTTGACATAGATGTTTGAAAATATGAACCTAGAGCTTGAGGAAGAGATGTGAGCTAGAGATAAAATGCGGGAGTTACCACATGTAGGTGGTGGTTGATGCCACGAGAAGAGTTGAGGAATACATAGCGTAAGGAGAAAAGAGAGTTTGTCGAATAATATTAGGCAGTACTAGCATGGAAGCGGCCAGCAGCAAAAGAACGAATTGTGGCAGATATCATAGCATTGCAAAAACCAAGTGGAGAGAGAGTTTTCAGAAGAGTCAACAATGTCAGAAGCTTCGGAGAAAACAAGTAAAACAAGAACTAGGAACATCTTATGAAGGTCTTCAGCAGTCTTGGCAAGAGCACTGTCTGTGGAGTAGTGGGGACAGAAGCCAGACTGCAGTGACTTGAGGAATGAATGGGAAGAGAGGAGGTAGAGGCAGTAGGTGTAGACTTTCTAAGGGAAAGGGAGACATGGGTGAGTATTTAGAGGAGGACATGGGATTGAAGAAGGCTTTGAGGGTTCTTTGGTTTAAACTCTTGAATATATTTGTTAGCTGAAGGGCAAGAGCTAGTACCGAGGGAGGTGCTAAAGACATAGGAGATGGGACCCTTTGTGGAGTAGGGTCCCAAAGGAGTCAGAGAGAGTGATGGAACTGAGTAGAAGTGAGAGGATTAGATTCACCTTGAAGAGATGCTGTTTCTACAACAGGAGGCAAAGAGATGAGGACAGATGCGGACGTAGGTGTACTAAGTCTGCAGGTGATGGACAAGGAAGTTGAAGAATTTTTAGCCAGATGACCTGTATTTTCCCACTGAAACAGGAAAGAGAGTCATGTGCCAAAAATCAGGCATAGGGAGGACATAGGTGAAGGTTTGGAACAGCTGTTTTAGGAAAGGGGAGGGGAAACAGTCTAATGACCAGGGCTGGATAGACTGTGACCCATGGGCCAAATCCAGCCTACCACCTCTTTTTGTAAATACGGTTTTATTGGGACACAGTTACACCCATTCAAAAGTCTATGGCTGCCATTGCGATACAACAGCAGAGTTGAATAGTTGCAACAAGAGCCCTTGTGGCCCACAAAGCATAAATTACTTACTATCTTGTCCTTTACCAAAAAAAGTTTCTTGACCCCCTAGTCAGATGATAGTTCACAAAGCTTAGTTACCTATTAGAATCACCTGAGGACCTTTAAGAAAATTCCATTCTCTGTGCTAAACACGAACCAATAATATCAAAATATCTGAGGGTGGAGTCTGTGCAGTAGTATTTTCCAAAGCTCCCCAGATGATTCTAATGTGTAGCCTGGGTTGAAAACCACTGATAGACAACTAAGAAAAATGATTGCTGAATAGCACTGAGAACTGCCCCCCACCCCCGCAATGAAGTCAGAAACCATGATTTTGTAGGTACTTTTGTCCTATATCTGAAATTTCTGAAGCTGACCTTCTTTTTCTGTTCTTGTAAACAAATTGCCTTTACATTTCTAAAGGCTTGTTTCTTGAGATGAAAGAAAATGCTGATCCTTCGGAGAGATTCCTTATTCTATTTCCTTTTCTTTTTTTCTATCTTCTTTTGCATTTCTGCTTCTACATCCCTCGATTTCTTTTATTTTTTTCTCCTCGATTTCTTTTAAATTCAGTTTTACACTTTTACCATTTCTTACCCCCTTTGGTCATTAAATAAAGAAACAATACCTCCACGTTGTAATTGCTACAGAGATAGCAATTTGCTTTCCATGATTAATCTCAGGATTCTTGCACCCTTCCCCCTCCCTTTTTTCCTTGTTGCCATGGGGGACAGACTTGATGTAGGCTCAAGTGGCAGTGAGAAACCATCTGTGGCACAGAGACTCATAATTAGCCATTATTTCATAACATATTTACTTTTGTCCATGATATAACTAAGTCTTTCTAGAACTG